CCACTGGATGGTAACATGAGGCAGCATATTGCCCTGTCAAACTGGGCGGCGGGCGAGCAGAGTAAAACTTCGAGTTGATGGTCAGTTGGCGGATGGGACCCAAAGATCTGGGCCAAGCAGCCAATGATGACCTGGGCAAAGAAGAGGGTGAAGAACACCTGGATGGGGAAAAGGGAGATGAGAGCCAGACGAACGTAATTGCCGTCCACGGCAATCTGGAGGGCGAGAGACCTCCAGGCAGCGCCGAGCGCCACGGTGACGAGAATCAGAGTGAAAGTGACAAGCCAAGTGTTCATGAGATGAACGGGGCGCTTCTCGGGGATGATCTCGCCGCTCTCTTCGTCAATCTCGACTTCAGCCACGTTCGGGTCGCGTTTCTCGCCGCCTTCTTCCTCTTCTTCATTCCCTGCCTTCCACACGAGCTCCATGAGTTCAGACTCGATGGCCTTGGCTCGGGGAATCAAGTGGAGTGCGTCATCGTCCCACACGATCAGAAGGCCTTCGGATGCGACAAAGGCAGCAAACTGGTGCTTCCTAGCACGCGTCAGGTCCTCGATCGTGGGCAGAATCTGCACACGGAGACCGTTCATCAAGGGGACATCCACGGCGTCAGGCGACCACTGCAGGAACGTCTTGATGACACGGGAGTTGACAGTCATGGCGCACTGAACATTCAGGGCGGCAGCGGCCTGCGCAAAGGGAGAGCTGCCCAGTTGAGGCGGGCACGCCATGTACTGGCCTCGGTGCTTCCTCAGCAAAACGCCCTCGATCTCGCCAGACCCGTCGCTGACCCAGAGGTGGGAACACTGCTGCTGGTACAGGTAGTTGACCATGACTTCATGCTTAATGTCGTCGAGGAACATGCTGCTGGCAGCAGACTTTGTGGAGCGACCCGAGACAGACTGGGGACGCGAGCTAAAGCGCGGGGTGGGCGCTTGAAGCTCCATGTCGTTTCCGACAAAGCGGTCTGATGGCGGCTTTTCTGAAGCCGCTGACGGCTGTTTAGGCTTGTGGGCGCGAGGCGGCGCAGTCGCAGCCTGCTCGGGCTTGCTGCTCGCCTTGAAGTAACTTCCGATGCCCATTGTGGCGGGTAGCACGGGAAGGCTGAATGTGTTGTTGAAGGGGGGTGGGCACCCTCCAATCTGCGGAGGACGCAAGGAACGACGTCAAGTCAGTTCCGGAGAAGAGCCTTTTGATACGATATCAGCAAAGGGGTTCCAAGAAGTTCAGTTCGGGGAGCCGGAACGGACCTGGCTTATAGCACAAGCGTGCTGCCGTTTGCGGGTTGCGCCTCGTCGAGGAACAATTATGTTGGATCTTCCGAGTATGACAGCGGTTGCAATGGAACGCACGCTCGTGGCACTGGTTCTGACGAGAAGAGTACCGGGAAACGACAATTGGAAAGAGTGTATAATGGTTCCGCTGTGGAACGTGCAAAGCGAGTGGATGAAGGTGTTCAGGTCTGGCTGGCGTGGGTGAACGGCAGAGCAAGGACAAGCGGTGTCCTACTACGACTATCACCTCTTGTCAGTTCCCGGGTCAGTTGGGATGGGCAGGGCAACACGAAATCAAACACGGTCGGAAAAGAAAGATGGGAGGGGATGCTTGAAGCCGCGCGAAGGAGGGAAGACAGGGACGGATATGAATGAAGAGTAAGTCCAAGTTGGAGTCTTGGAAGAGGTGGAAGTGACGGATCGATGTGCTAGTAGGCCCTGGCCCCGTCCAAGCTACTGCTAGCTCGGACGAGGAGGGGGGAAGCAGACCCGGTTGAATGGAAAATGGGCCTTACATCAGGGTGGTCGCCAAACGGTGGATATGCGCCAGTGTGGCAGTGGGATTCTCGCGGGAGGGCTACCGAGAGGGTCAGAGACGATTGACGCGAGCCGCCACCGTGCTCTCTTGGCCGAGGGAATTGTCGTCCGGGTACTGCTCAGGTGAGGCGATATGCGCCGAGCGGTGTTTTGGTCGAGGAAGAGAAAGCGGGAGAGAGAGAGAGAGAGAGAGAGAGAGAGAGAGAGAGAGAGAGAGAGAGAGAGAGAGAGTAAGACGGCCGAAGAGGAGACGTGCTGGCGAGTCGTCTATTGCACCGCGACTGAGTACAAGAGGGCGTTCGTTTTGTGGTTGTTGGTGTAAGGGTGTTGAGGTTTGTGACTGCAGCAATGAAGTGCGCCACGGTATGGTTTTCTCTGACCCTGACCTCTGTCTGACCTCTTTCGTCCTGAGAGAGGCGTGGGGCGTGGGCTTGAAGGCTTGAAGAAGATAGCGGCAGCTGAAGAGAGAGGAGAGGTGGCACCTGAAGTGAACGAAGGACTGGTGACAGTGTGGATGCGTGTCACTGGATGAGGGCCTCGGCCACCGGTGGGTTGAAGGACGAGGGGAGGGGTGGGTGGCGGCTGGGAAGGAAAAGAAGAGGGAGAGAGACGACAAGACGACGAGTCGACAAGACACGATGCCGGATACAGCAAGCCCAGTCTCGCTCGCTCTCTACACCATGTACCTTGCTCCTTTCGCCGCCTGTCATTGTCGGAAGTCCTGGCTCTTCCCTCCAGTTTGACCGGGCCCAGGACAGGGGAGGCAGGCACCACCGACAGAACACGGACAGCAGGCAACGGGCAGCGGGCGACGAGCAATCGACGAACCCGAACGACACACGAGGGGAAACCATGGAAAAAGTCGACCAGGGGCATAATGACAAGGGCCAGGGAGCCATGGGGCAGGGGTAAATGGACACGAGCCGGGGGGGCAGGGGTGGCCCAGACAGAAGAAGGCGAAGCAGGCTTCTCTGGGCGTTGGGGCTAGTCGCTGTCCAGAAGGTCTGCCTTGGCTGTC